ATGTCTCTTGAATGTTTCCTGTATGGAAACAGTTATTTTCATCATTAACATGAGCATATGTATTAATACATGCAGTAAATTAAGACAGTGATTTTAAATAATAATATGAAATTTGTGGCAAAGCTAATGGCGACAACTGAAGCAAGGAATTTCTTTTCCTTTTTTTAAAAGGGCGAAGATGAAAATTATTCTATTCATTTTATTTTAAAGAAATACGAAATCTTGAAGCTGAACGAAAAGCGTCTGGAATCGACTTCTTCTGAAATCAATTTTTCTCACATTTCGATCGAACTCATTATATTAAACGACATGTTTCTTTTTATTCCACAGTAGTTCTTCATCTCCCTCTCTCTCTCTCTCTCTCTCTTTCTCTCTCTCTCACACACACACTTTCTCTTACACTATCAATCAATAGTTTTCTTTCTCACTCTTTTTTAATCAAAAATACTGCAGCTCTATGTCACTGTCAGGCTTTCTTTCTTTTACACTGTCGTGCTACGTGTCTATATTTCAAACGCATTTTTCTCTTTCGAACCTTCTTTATTTCTTTCTCTTGTTTTCTTTCTCTTAGACTAGACTTGTATTTTTACCTACCTCTCTCTTTCTTATTTTCTTTATCTCTTTTACTTAATCTATTCGGTTATCAGTTTGTATCTTTCTTTCTCTATCTCTTTCTTCTCCTTTACCCCATTCTATTATCTATTGCCCTCATTCTTTTTTCTCTCTTCCTACAACCTTTAATTTCTCTCTCTACCTCTCTCTCTCTTTCTCTCCGTCTTTCGCTTCTTCTATTGAACTATATTTCTGTATCTGTCTGTCTCTCTTTACTCATACGCCAACATTCTATATTTCTCATTCTCTTTTCCTTTTACTCCTTTATTTTTCTCACCCTCCCCTACTCCTTGTGTATCTCTCTCTCTCTCTCTCTTTGAGTCCAGCTTTGTTGCTATATATCTCTCTCTTTTCTCTTAGTCGAACATTTATATTTTTGTATCTCATTATCTTACTCCAACATTCTATATTTTCTCTATCACTCTCTCTTGCACACTTTCTCTTTCGCTTACTTTATCCAGCTACATACCCACTCTCTCTCCTTCTTTCTCTCTCTCTCTCTCACATACATATATATATATATATATATATATATATATATATATATATATATATATATATTGTCGTACACCAACATTTTATATTTCTATCTCTCATTCTCTCTTTCTGTTAATTCAGACATTTTTTTCAGACATTTATTTTTCTATGCCTCTCTCTCTCTTACTATCACGTTCTTCCAGTCTCTCTCAATATCTCTCTCTTAATCTATCCAGCTATATGTCTGTATGCCTCTCTTTCTTTTCGCTTACTCAAATATTTTGTATTGCTATCTCTCATTCACTACAACCTTTTATTTTTCACTATCTCTCACTGTCACTCTCTTTTTCTCTCTATTTCGCTTATTTTATACAGCTGTATTTCTCTATCTCTTTCTCTCTATCTCTCTGTTACTTGAACATTCTATATATCTAGCTTTCACTCTCTCTCTCTCTCTCTCTTACTGAAACGATTTATATTTCACTACCTCTCTCTCACACTCTCTCACTTTCGCTTAAGCTATGTAGCTATATTTCTGCACCTTTCTCTTACTTAAACATTTTATTTTTCTCTATTTCTCCCTCTGGCCTTTTCTCTCTTTCGCTTAATGTCTCCAACTATATATCTGAATCACGCCCGCCCTCTCTCTCTCTCTTACTCGAACTCTCTATTTTTATATCTCTCTCTTACTACAACCTTTTTTCTCTAATTCTAACTCTCTTTCTCGCTTTCGCTTAATCTATCTAGCTATATTTCTATATCTCTCTATTACTCGAACATTCTATATTTCTATCGCTCTTTCTCTTAATCCCTTTTATTTTTCTCTATTTCTCACTATCAGTCTCTCTCTCTCTCGCTTAATCTATCCAGCTATATTTCTATATCGCTCTCTCTCTCTCTCTCTCTCTCTCTCTCCCTTACTTGAACTTTCTGTATTTCTATCTCTTCCTCTTACTGCAATCTTTTCTTTTTCCATTTCTCACTCTTATACGCTCTCTCTCTCACTCTCGCTCTCTCTCTCTCTCTCTCTTTCGCTTAATCTATCCAGGTATAGTTCTGCATCTCTCTCTCTCTTTTAATTGAACATTCCATATCTCTCTCTCTCTCTCTATATATATATATATATATATATCTTTCGCTTAATCTATCCAGGTATAGTTCCATATCTCTCTCTCTCTTTTACTTGAAAATTCCATATCTCTCTCTCTCTTACTCCAACCTTTTATTTTTCTCTATTTCTCACACACACACACTCTCTCTCTCCTTCGCTTAAACTATCCAGCTATATATCTGTGTCATCCTCTCTTTTCTCTTATTCCAACATTCTATGTTTCTTTTTCACTATCGTTTTCTTTTACTCAGTCTTATTTCTGCTTTTTTCTTCTTACTTTCTTAGTCGCTATTGCTTTTTCTGTTTTCTATTAACCAGTCATCAGTTGTTTTTCTATTTTTTTTGTTTTTTTCTTTTTAAATTCTTCTTCATGCCTTTCACGTCATCATTTAAAACATTCCTTTCCTCCCTACTCATATAATATCACCTCCCTTTCCGCCACTTTCTTTATAACAAGACTCATCGATAGATATCGATACCGTCCCCCTCTACCCTTCTCCTTTCCACCCCTGAACCACGTTTTCCGTCTCAGTTGCGCAGATCGAAATCTTTCGCAAGAGGATTCGCGGGAGGTTGGCAAAGCGAACCACAGGTAATGGTGGTTTCAAGTTTCGTATTTTTATTTTGAGTTTCATTATTTTTTGCATTTTTTTTTTTTTTTTACTTCATATTTATTCACATCTGGAAAAGGGAGGCTGAATTTGAAGCCTACTCCAACTTTAATTCAGAGACTGGTTCTTCTGCATGATATTGCGTTAGGTTCGTGTGAAGTTAATTGTACAGATGCCTGTAAGAACAAGTGAGGTGAGATTAAACTAGTTCCTTTCAATATAGAGAATATTTAGAAGTGTTAGAAGTATCAAAGTTGAAAGAGATTTCTCTATATAATCGTCTAATACGTTGCTAAATCTGTCAAATATACAAATATTAGTTTTTTTTAAGTACTCAGCACTTTTCTTCGCGTCTCTTATATATGGAATATCTTTTTTCAAATTTGAAACCTATAATCTTTTCTGTTTAGTAACTATATTCTTACAAAAATAACGTTCAATTACATTTTATTTAATTATCTATTTACCATTATTTGCAATGAAGGTTTGCCACCTACCCAGTACCTCTTCAATAATTACGCTTCTTTTGACACCGAAAAAAGTTTTGGAAATCTGATTAGATTTGTTTTTTTGTTGGAAATCTTCTTCTACAGTTTAAGAACTCTGGTTATCTCCCTATTAGTATTTCGGATTGAAGATTCGGAGAGCCGAGTTCGAATTCCACTCAAATCCATTACATTCACTTACGTACCTAGGGAAAAGTATGAATCTACTTTCCCTTGGGAAAGGTATTAATCCTCTTATTCCTCTCCAGCTATGGATAAGTAGCAGGACAGACCTTGGATGGCAACTGGTCTACTGTAGAAAGAAATAGCAACGTTCTGCCTCGTCAGTCACGTTTCGAAAGATACATGATCACCTAAGCGTGTATTACGCATGACATACAACTGAGTGACTATACACTATAATCAACTCAGAATTAGTTAAGTAACTCACTTAACGTGGTATTCTTTCATATAAACAATATGGCTTTCATGTCTCTAGGTCAAGTGAATTTTTCTATCAGTTCATAGATAAAAATGGTGATGCTTGAGCTGTGATTTTAAACCTCTCAAAGGCATTTGACAGGGTTTGATATATTGACCTACTCTGGAAACACAATAGCTATGGTAAAATTGTGTAATAAATGTCATGTTGAATGGCTATATTTCTAAACCATTAACCCTAACCCTAGTTCCCAAGGATTTATCCTTGGACCTACCATGTACCTTATCGTCACCAACAACATTACTGAAGTCATCACTGTCTTTACTGATTACCCAACCTTTTACTCCTATGTTTATAGTACGTGTAATAGGTTTGAAAAAGTAACACTGGAAGGAGCTCTTGAAATGTCCTCAAGTCTGTTGTTAACCAGGACAAGAAATGGTTTCTGCTATCATCTCCAAATTAGATCCTTACAAGACATTCCGACTTGACAGTATCCCTGCAATTCTCAAATGATATGTGCTCCAGAACTGGCTCATGTTCTCTTCAATCTCTACAACTTGCTATTTTCCAGCTTGTGGAAAATGATTTTTTCAAGTTCCTGTCTTTAAGAACACTTTAAAAGCTTAAATTACCATCCTACTGGTCTTTTACCTATTTTTGGCAAAGTGCTAGTTGCTCTAATCAACTCTGAATTGGTTAAGCATCTTACTTCACATGGCCTTCTTTCAGATAAACAATATGGATTTCATTTCTCTTGGACAACTGAAATTTGTCTATCAGGCTATAGATAAGAATGGTGATGCTTGGGCTGTGAATTTAGACCTCTCAAGGATATGGTATAGGGTTTGATAAACAACTTTGGGAACTCAAGATCTATGTTATCTCTGGCTGAACCCTTGACTTAATCCAATCATTCTTAAGAAATTGTGTAATGAATGTCATGCTGAATAGCAATACTTGTGTCTCATTTCACATTAATACGGGAGTCACCAAGGCTTTATCTTCTTTCTTAACTTCACCAACAACCTTACTGAAGTCGTCATTTCTTAAATGAGTATAGATGCTGATGACACACCTATTTACTTCTGTCTTTATAGTAAGTATAATCGGTTTGACAAAATAATAATAATAAAGCTCCTGTCCTCTTCAATCTCTACAATAAATGGCTTGCTGCTTCTTGCTTTCCAGCTTGGTGAAAATGCTCTTCTGAGGTTCCTGTCTTTCAGAACTCTGGGCGACCTTCTGAGCCATCAAATTATCATCCTATTAGAATTTTACCTCTTTTTGGCAAAGGACTAGAGACTCTAATCAACTCTGAACTAGTTAAATATCTCACTTCACATGACCTTCTTTCAGATAAGCAAAATAGCTTTCGATTCGCCACGAGCACGCAAGGGGTTACAGGGTGTGGAAGACTTAGAAAGTGAAACATTAGTAATGACCAGAAAGAGAAAAGAGCAATCAGAAGGACAGTAGATAGCGATTGACATTCCATTTAAATTTTTACAGATAAATTAAATGTTAAATGAAAGGGAATTAACAGACGGAGTTCCACAAGGGAGAAGTGCAAGATAAGAAACTGTTAGCATAGAAATGACGGCTACATCTCGCTAGCTCAACTGTAAATTGATGGGTTCTCGCCCTCAGTCTAGTATTATGATTAAATTCATACAGTCTAGGTCCATATCAAAGAGCTCATCCGAACAATTATCATGAAAGTATTTATAAAGCAAGTAGCTAAACTTAGTGCGGTAAGTGTGTGTGTGTGTGTGTGTGTGTTACTGAAGCCGAGCCGGCAGATCATGGCCAATGATATTGTTGATTCTTCTTATCAAGGAGCCACAGAAAAATATCAGAGACACCGGACTATATATGGTAGCAATATCCTAAGCATGGACGAATGGTAGACTTATAGATATGCAAGATAGATTCCGGAGAGAGAAACTGTCTCAATCGACAGAGTGAAACGACTTTCTTAGCAGTTGACACGAAATGGGCCACTTTTTTGGAGGGTAACATCAGCCAAGCTGATGGAAGGTAGAGAAGGGTCTCTCAGATGATTAATGGAGAGAAGTTTAGTTTTGGAGCCGTTAAAATTGACAAACCATCTTTCAGCTGTCATTTTGACCTTGTCTGAAAGGAGTAAATCGGTTATTACTGACTATGACTGCCAAGCTTTAAATAAGATCGCCGAAGCTGTGTCTTTAGGTATCTCAAAGGCGGCTAACAGGTTTTAGCAAGCTGGACTTCCATACAATCTCCAGGGCCATGGCGTCTCTAGGCGGATGTTTGATTTAATCGAATTGTTCATAACAAGTCGTGTAATTAAAATCCTTTTGAAGGGCCACGCTTCAAGATCCTTTCACGTTCAGGCGGGAGGCCCTTAACGCTCTGTCCTTGGACATATGTTAATTCTTTTTTCCATCAATGACGTCTCCATTATCATCAGTTCCCTGCTAGTTAATTATGCTGATGATACGACATATTTAGTAGGAATGCGGACGTCACCGACGAAGTAAAACTGACAGTTGTTGTCGAAAATGAACTCCAATAAATGCATTAATTCTATATATATATATATATATATATATATATATATATATATATATATATATATATATATATATGGGGAGAGATTACAGTTGATTTAACGAGGGAAAGGTGTATATTCTAACGAGAAAAAAGAAACCTCAGGCTTTTTTTGTTAATTTATTTTCCATATTTGAAAATAATATATAAAAGTTCCATATTATAATCAAAAAGGATTGTAACTTCTATTTTCACTTTAATATATATATATATATATATATATATATATATATATATATATATATGCAGACACTTGCCTGATGATAGCATAATTCATTTTTAAATTTTGTCCAGAGAAGAAGATAAAAAAATTTACAAAAATTAATTAAAACATTACCAAAGTTCCTTATCCTTATATATATATATAAGTGGTTATTACAATAGTTAATGACGTTATGTGCGTATGTGTGTAAGATACTTGACCTAGTGTAAGGTGTAAGGCCCATTTTGAATTTTCACATATATACATTATAATATATATATATATATATATATATATATATAAATATATATATATTTATGGGATAAATATCAATATCAGAGATATGTAAATATAAAAGAAATAGAAGTCAACAAGGCGAATGTATGCAATCGTCAGGCCACGTTCTGTTATTTTCTCGGCTATTTATATAAAAACAGTGGTGCATGGGTATTCTATTATGGCGGATATTTTTGAAAGTCGCTTTGTTCATTTAACAAAATTGTTTCGTTTTTTTTTTATTTATTTTTATTTTATTTATTTATTTATTTTTTTTTTTGTTTCTTATTTTATTTATTTATTTATTAACGTAGTAAATTTTGTTTTATCACGTATTTAACAGTTTTGTTTTGGTTTGAG